TCCCGCCTGCTCATCTGTGCGTCCCCCTGAGGAGGGGACCTCGTCTTAAGAGCAAGCGATCTGGCAGGCATGGGCTGACTCTCATCTGTGGGACAGGCTGAGGGGATGGGGGATATTTGGTTATTGATGCTGCTGTCTCTCGGAGCGCTTTCTTGATGCCTTCAGCTAGGCTACAGTCAGAAAAATCTGCCCTTTTTTTGTCGAAGGCACCTTCCTCTGTGCTGTAGTCCCTAGGGTGCCCAAGTAGGGGGAGAGCAGCTGCATCCCCCTGCCCACCTGGGCTAGACCAATTTTCCTACCAGCAAGATTTTCTACATCTTTTCTGGCTGTCCTAAGGGACAGAGCCCCGTGGAGGAGGGGTGGTGACAGCAGAGGTGGCTTGCGGGGGGTCAGCAGCACTGTGTGTCTGCTGGCTGTGGCTGGGAGATAACCCGCAGGGGAGGGGACAGCCCCAGGCCTCACCCGGATCTGGGGGTTTCTCCAAGCCACAGAGTTTCCTGGAGTATCAGTTTTCTCCAGGCGTAGCATGAAGGATGTCAAAATCACGAAATAACTTAGGTGTGTAACCGGTGTGCTGCAGCACGAGAGGCCCTCGCCAGGGAGGAGGAGACGGGCTTGGCTACGTCAGGAAGTGGCTGGGAAGGAATCGGGCAGGTTACGGCTCGCCAGGTTAGACTCAGCTGCCCTCTCCTCCCTGAGCAGTGCAGGGCTTAGTAGTTCGTATTTCCCCAGACTCACTGGAGTTAAGTGTTGTGGTTCAGGAGGAGCTGAAACATCCCTCTTGGAGCAGTGAGAGCTCTCTAGCATCTTGGCTCCTTGTGAGATCAAGCTGGGGGCTGATTTTTTGGGCATCTGCATGTCTTAAAACTATTCCAGTAACATTGCTGGGTTTGGTCCGTGTCCAGGCAAGGAGCTCAGTGCTCTCGTTCCCACCAGCCCAGCAGGGAGCTGGCCTTGCGGTCTCCGTGCCGCAATTAAAACATACCTTTGTAATTCATGGGAATGCTGCCCTTGCCATCTCTGGCTCTGCAAAACCAAAACTTGAGCCAGGCTTGCTTTCTTAATCCTGTTCTGGGTGTGCAAGCCATCCTTGTACCCACAGGAAGAAGAGTTCATCAGAGCCATGAATAGGGTCTTACAAAAGACCGCACTCATCAGGGAAATAAAAGCTAGATAAAGGGCAATTAGCAATTTTCTGTGTTCAGTGGAAACTGGTGCATAGAATACAACATTTGAGATGCATAAAGCTCTGTTCCCGTCCTCCCCCCACCCCGATTCCTTTCCTTTCTTTCCTTGAGAATTGTTCTTGTGAATTGGAAAGGCCATGATATTTGTGAGAAGCTGGGGGGGGGAAATGGAAAAACCTCCTCTGCTCGGGGGCAGATCGCTGTACAAAAGGCTGCAGGAGAGCCAGGGCTGAGCTGGCTGCAGCAGCCTGGGGTTAGCCACTCTGCCTTCCCTTCAGCTGACGCATGGAGGTGAACTGACTGCTGTTTTCTCCTTCCCAAATTATTTTCCAGTTGCTTTCCTGTCAAAGCCTCAAGGCCTGGTTACACCCAAGAAAAAAGGGAACGGGAATAAAAGAAGAAAAGGCAAAGGCCAGGGGAAGAAGAGAGACCCATGCCTGCGGAAGTACAAGGATTTCTGTATTCACGGCGAATGCAAATACATCCGAGAGCTGGGAGCTCCCTCCTGCATGTGAGTTGCTGGCGTGTGCCTGTGCCGGGGGAGCCTTAGTCACGGTTCCTTCAATTCTCCAGGCCGGGCAGAGGAAGAGCGAAGGAGATATTTTTAGTGCATGTTCCCCGTCCACGCAGGGATGGCTCTGACTTGGCCTCTTCCTTGTGCTTCTTGAGCAATGTCCATCCCCCACCAAAACCCGTCATGGATTTAGACCCAGCGTCCCCTCAGCAGCGCAGTGAGCTCTGGCTGAACTGCTACACAGAGACCTGGGGGGGGGGGTTGGAGGATGGTGAGCAGGGACTGGGGTCTCACAGCTAAGATCTTCCACAGGTGTGGTTTCGAGGTCCCATCCTGACTCTGTAACCCCGCTGCTGCCAGCCTTGGCTGAGAGCTCAGGGCTCCTGTGGCTGTTGGAAGGTACTGGTGCAGGCAGGAGGAGCATCTTGGCTGTGGCACCGGCAAGGCAGATTGGAGGTAGCACCTTTAGGGACAGCCTGCCAAAGCCGTGCCCATGCTGTCCCTTGGCCCTGCTGAAGGACAGGCCTGTCTGCCTGCCATGGGATGCAGGTAGAAAGCAGAGGCTAGGCAAGGTAAGCGGAGGAGAAAGCATTTGCCTATTGCCAGGGCACCCGGATCCAGCACTGCTACCGCGGGAGATACCCAGGGGTGCACATTTGATCCCTGCTGACGTGGGCAGAGGTTGAGCTGGCAGATACATAAGAGGCTTTGTTCTTTGCTATCAATCCTCTGAGCCACACAGCCCTGCGCCCGGAGCCTGGGGAAGATAATAGCTCCCTGGCTTACGGTGCCCACAAGATCTCACGCCCTGCAATCTGCAGGGATCAGGCTCCGCGTAGCTCCTTGAACCGCTTAGTTTCTCTCTGCCTGGAAGCTGTCGTGAAGTTGGGCCCTTGCACAGGGGGCTCGGGACTGCCAGCAAGAGGAGATCTCTGCTGGCTCAGCTTTAAGACTTTTCTTCTCACCCAGATGCCAGCCCGGGTATCACGGAGAGAGATGCCACGGCCTCTCGCTGCCTGTGGAGCACCCCCCCAGCGCGTACGACCACACGACGGCACTGGCTGTCATTGCTGTTGTCCTGTCCTCCCTGTGTCTCGTCATCATCGCAGCTCTGCTGATGCTCAGGTGAGTGGGTCGGTGCCAAGCTGTCGGATCCACGTCCCTGAGAAGACCACGTGCAGGGGAGGGTGGCAGGGACTTCTCTGTGCTCTGAGCATCTCTTTGCTTGGCCTCACAGGTGTCACAAGAGGGGTGTCTACGATGTAGAAAACGAAGAGAAAATCAAGCTGGGCATCACTGTGAATCACTGAGGATGCCGGGTGCTGGCAAGGTGAGCCCCTGGCTTGGGTGCGGGGCTGGTGCGCATCTGGGGGCTCTGCTTGTTCATGCTGGCTGGGACTGCTACGTGGGTCCCGTGCCAGAGCCAGGCAGGCGTTCAAAGCAGTTTAAGCTTGGAGAAGCAGCTTCCTGGATTTGGCCTGAGAGCCTGGGTTGCCCCGTGGGGCTCCAGCCCTCTTGCCTCCCCTTTCTGCTCAAGCCCCTGTCTCCTGACACCACCTCCACTTCCTTCTTTCTAACTTTTTAAGTCCCTGCTTTGCCCTGTTGCTGCATACTTTGGGGATGTTTGGCAGTGGGGAAGCTGCTTCTGTTTTTTTTCCCACTTGTTCTGCTCGCTCTCTGACCCTCTGAGTCACTTCCCCTCCTTAGATATTGCCTCTATTTATATATATAAAAAAACCTCCTTCCTTTTCACTCCCACTCTGCTTATTACTTGTACCATGTAATGCCTTGCAGCTGGGCACAGGGGGATCTTGCTGCCAGCCCTGTCTGATGTTACTCGGCTGGGCGGTGGGGTGTGCTCTGCCCCGGGGGTGGCCACGTGGCTGTGGCTGGGTGCTGGAAAGCTTGCAGACTTCCTCTGATCTGGTCCAAACCCTGATGTTGGATGTGCCCATACATATTACAGCTACTTCTCTCTTTTTAAAAAAACAAAAAAAAGCCAAAAAAAAAAAACCCTCAATACTTTGTGAGGATGAAGTAATGCCTTCAAAGAATTTCTGTAATGTTGGTAATAGTATTGGGGGAGGATCTTTAGCTGTTTATAGGCGTTGAATTTTGGGGAAGGGGATTCAGCACAACGTTTTCATCATTGTCCCCTCTGCTCTGGGGGATTATTGGGGTGGATATGTCCACAGGGAAAAAGTGCTGAGGTTGCTAAAGGGAAGCATGGTGGACATGAGGTGAGATGCTTAGCTACCACTCCCCCAGCATTCTGGCTCTCATCCTCCTGGGTCCAGTCCCACAAGGCAGCGAGTGGCGGCTGCTGCTGCTGCTGGGGCTTTGGTGGCTGCGAGGGGTGTCCCGCTGGGCTGGGTGGGACAGGCACCTTGGCCCTGCCATGCAGCAACTGCTCCACAGGCAGAGTGGCCCAGGGCTGTGTGGTGAGCTGTCCTGATGCTGTCTTGCAGGGGTTGGCACTAATGCACTTCTACCTCCTGGAAGAAGCGAGAGCCACGGAGCCAACACCATCCCTGGGAGCCTGCAGTGCGGTGGAAGCTCCCTGGATCAGCAGGACAGCCCCCGCTTCAGGGCTGGTCAGGCAGTGGTGTCACTGCAGGGAGCTTCGTGGCCATCTCTGGGACAG